GGTTATTTTCCACTCAAATTTGTTGAATATTTTCATTTAATTCAGGTGAAGTCATCTTACTACCTGCATACTCAGGTAGGCATCACTTGTAATGCAATATTCATGTTGGTTCACCTTTGTGTGTGTGTATATATATATATATATATATATATATATATATATTTCTTATGTTTATATGTTCCTTTTATGGATACAAATATTTAAGTAAATGCTCTGTTTATAATAAACAGTATTAAACAACATTTACTGGCCTGAATGTCCGAGAAATTTTCATAGAAAATATTTGTCCTCCGACAGGATTCGAACTTGTATCCTATACGGAACCATCATATAGCCTGATGTGCTTTTACCAATTTCACCACAGAGGAGTGTTTTGGTTAGTAAGGTCGAATTTACTGTTTTTAAACTACAATTCTTCATGATTTTCTCTCATACATTCATATCTGCTCGATGCGTATCCAAATGTAAACAAATGACATCACACATTATGAAATGGACAAAATCTGACAATTATTTTAAGACATTTTTTATGTTTATACGTTCTTCGTGTAGATACAAATATTTAAGTAAATGCTCTGTTTATATTAAGCAGTATTAACAACATTTACTGGTAAAAGCATGTTAGGCTATATGACAGTTCTGTATAGGATACAGATTCAATTCCTGTCAGAGGATCCATATTTTCTATGAAAATTTCTCAGACATTCAGGCTCTAAATGTATAACAGGAGCACCAGGCCAAATGTGGCAGCAATATTCAAAGCAAGGATGAATTGTAGACTTATAAATATTTGAGGTAGTGTTGTTACCTACTTGTAACCACTTCATGTCTGCAGAAAATGTTAGTCTGAGAAGTTGCAATGAGTCACTCTCTGGGAGGTTAGCATCAGCCATGTTGATGGAAGGTAAAAAAAGAATTCTTTCAGACTTCTTGCATGTGGAACCTCCTTCCAGTTTCTTGCTTCACTGCTACCAACTATCTTCAAAAATTTAAATGCAATGCCAGTCACTATCTTCGGTATTCTTGTAATTGTTCTTTTATTGTCCTTTCTTTTTGCATAAGTCTTCTCTTTCCTTTTTCACTCCCTATAAATGCTTGTGTCTTAGTGTCATTATCGCCTTGATTGGAGTGAAATGATTAAAAAGAAAAAATACTTTGTGAGAGGAGTTTGCCAAGCACTGGTGCAGATCAGGCATCTTGCATAATATTTATTTTTAAATAGTCATTTTAGCTTTTTGGTTCTGCGGATTAATAAGACCTTTGTTTAACTGAATTGACCAAGTGTGTGTGAATAGAGACACCGCATGTACTGCAGTAGAAGTGGACAATATGGCCTAATGGAGCCCAACCCTGTCTGGTTTGAATTCAGAGTTTTCCTTCTCCTAGACCATTTCCCACCCAAGGCTATATAACCCAGTCTGCCCTGCTATTTACCCATAACTGGAGGGAGAAGAGGATTCATGCCTTTCCCAAGAGTATTAGCACATAAGTGAATGTAATGGATCCAACTGGAATTTGAACTTGGCTCTTCCATTCCTCAACTCGAGCTGCTATCCTTTATTCCACCATTGCTTCCCTATTTAAGTGAATAGGAGAGAGCAAATATTGACTATTGCTGTGAAATCAATTTGTTCAAAATCTTAAAATGAGTTCACTTTTTGAAAGGTAGTGAAATAATTTAGTTATTGAGAGAAAATGAAATAAATGATGATGGAACCTGTCTATTCTGGTCTGTAATCTTAATGCAGCATTAAGTATGCTTATATTTATCTTATTACCTACATAATTTCTATATTTGTTTTTTTTTTTTTTTATTATTCTTTGTCCGTTCAAAATAAATGTTCTGATCAAATTTCATCTGGTTTCAAAATCTTTTAGTAAAGAAGATAATGTCTAATAAAATTTAGCTTGCACATAAAATGTTATTAAAATACTGAGACAGTTTATATCTATATTTCTGAGATGAGGTATTGTAATTATTTACACTATTTACATTGTTCAAACTGTTCTCATCTTTATTGCCATAATCACAATGTTTTGGCTGTTGTATGCTCTGGCCTTCTTCAGGTGATTGGAATTTTGAACTGAACCCTTTATTTCATCCACCGTGGTAGATTGTTCTAGTTCCACGTGCCATGCCTCTTCCGGATGTCTCAGTTCTCTTGCTTTAACTCAACTCTCCAGGTTTTTGTTCACCACTGCAGTAGCCAGGTATTGAACTCGCAACTCTTTGGGTCAAGTCACTGGATCCAACCAATCCTTTCATCCACTGGGCCAGATGTCCTTGTGGGACATCTGGAAGACGCATGGCACGTGGAACTAGAACAATCTACCACGGTGGATGAAATAAAGGGTTCAGTTCGAAATTCCAATCACCTAAAGAAGGCTGGAGTGTACAACTGATGAGAAGTTGTTAATATGGCAACAAAGATGGTGACCGAGACAGGTGTAGAAATTTATGTACTTATATGTATCTATTATAACTCGTTAGGAAAAGGTTAATTACATGTTTTCATGATTGAAAATATCAGCAGGAAAAATTAGATAGGTAATGTTGTGGGTTATCTTACTTTGCATAAAAAAAATATCAATAGGAGGTGCTCCATAAGTCTGTAAAAAATTTTTTTTCTCCCTTTTCTCTTTAATAGCTTCTAGGTATAAAATGTCATCACTCATGGGCGGGGGGAGTGTCCTCCACTGGGGCACGTTCATTTTCAGGGTTTTTTTCTCTTGACATTTGTACTCTTTCATATATGTCTATCACGTAGGCCCATTCAAATTTCACACACAGAAATACATACATTATTTAGTTTAAATGTTTTTATGTAATTAGTCTTTAAATGTTTTCTTCTTTTGTCGAAATTGTAATTCCTCATTTTTTACTTGAACTCACATTAAGTCCACCAATATTACTTATGGGATAAATTTTCCAGGAGCTTGTAAATATTTACTCTTCGGGGTGTTGCTTCTTGCAACATCGTAGTGACTAAATATTTACCCAATTATATCAATAATCCTGCAATAGTGTAATCATATCTATAAGTAATATGTTTTTCTACCTAATAAAAATATTAATATGTATCATAAGTATTTTGATTTTTAATCAATGCTTTTTATAGATTTTATGTAATGAGAAAAACTGTCCATTCATTGAAATTTTCCAGTAGATGGAAAATATTAACCAGCAAATGGAACATGGTGTAGGAATTTGACTGCAGTTGCAGACAGCAGTGAAATAGTTAAAATAATGCCAGTGTAGTATTGTAGACAAGTATAAATAGAGAACAACTGGTGAACATAGGGTGGCTATGCTTAGCAAACTCAGTTGCTATTCAGAACATGGAGAACTGTACTATGACTACTACTACACACAGAGATATGCAACACATAACAGTCACAAAATTGCCAAAATTTGAATATCATAGCATCTGAAAGATATAACTGAATGATATAAGTAGTGATGTTTACCTTAAGGTGTTTTGATAACCATCTTAAGGTACACATTCTGAAAAAAATATTCAGTATTCACTGATCTTTCAATTCTTAAAAAGCATGAAGAAAATTACATAGACAATTACTAATATCCCACCTTGTAGTGGTGGGGAGGATGAACAGAATGAAAAGAGAGCCTCATCAGGTTTATTGTAAATTGTTTAATTTCTTTTGCTAACTAATCAACTAATAGATGGGTACAATTATCATCATGTTACTGACATTGGAATTGCATTCCATTCATGCTAGTTACATTTCATGCACTTTGTCATGTTGATTATTTGTAGGACTGTTTTTCTCAAGACAAAATACAAGACGTCACATTTGTATACTTGTATTTTTTATATTTTTATACTTGTATGAAATTTTTAAACATAACTTTAAGAAGACAGACATTCTCTCAAAATATTGTTAAACATTGTATCAAGTCCAGGGTAAGACAATAAACTACGTCCAACAGCAAGGCCTCTGATCAGGAGGTTTTGAGGAGCGTGGAACCACCTCTTAATTACTGGTGGTAGCACCTGTTAGGGTCCCAGCTATGGGCAAATAGTTAACCCCAAAACTGAGGTAAAAAGCATTGTAAAAGTATAAAAATAGGTTTTAATATTAAAAATAATTTGTGAAAAATTATTACCAGATATAAATTTTTGATGAAAAAAATATTACCAGCAATACATTTTTTAAAATAATATTACCAGCTATACATTTTTCAGGAAAAAAATATTACCAGAAATAGATTTTTGACAAACCAAAATATTACCAGGAAAAAAAAAAGTTGTCTTCATTAAATAACCCATTGAGTAACAAACCAAACCAAATGAATTAAGCATTGTATCTTTGCCTTTTATTTTTAAAAATCACACTCTCCTCTAAATGCTGGAGAATATTTGGCAATCATTTTGTTATTATTTTTATAATAATAATAATAATTATAGTAGTAGTAGGAGGAGGCACAGTGGGGCAATGGATAATGGTTCAGATTGAGGAATCGGAGAACTGAGTTTGAATTCCAGTCAAATCCATTATATTCACTTACTTACTTACTTAATTTTCTTACCCTTGGAAAAGGTATGAATCCTCTTCTTTTCCCCCCAGCTATGGGTAAATAACAAGACAGACCAGATTCTATAACCTTGGATGTCAACTGGTCTACTGCAGAAAGAAATGGCAACCTGCTGTGGGAAAAATTCTGCCTCTTTAGTCATGTATCGAAAGATACATGATTGCCTAAGCATTTATCATGCATAGCATATAACTGAGTAGTAGTAGTAGTAGTAGTAGTATATTTTTTTTTTTTTTTTTTTATATCTACATAAAATAGACAGTAATGGAGTAAAGGTATCTGAAAATGAAAATACTTTTGATTTATCTTAATTTATAGTGAAAACATTTAAATTAGATTTCCTTTATTCATTTTTTTTCCTGCATGAAAACTATTGATAATCAATTCTCCATTTGTTACCTGTGAATTGTTTTAATTTTCTTACTTTTCTTTTCCCATCTAGATCTTAACCACCTTGAAATTCTCTATCTGGACAGGACTAAAATAACTAATCAGTGTGCACCTGTTTTTAAATGTAAGTATATTTCTAGTCCAATAAAGAAATTGTGGGCTTCGTTCATTTTATATAAACTTAAAATTTTCATGTAAAACATATATATATATATATATATATATATAGAGAGAGAGAGTTGGGTAAATGAAATAACTAGATATTAACAACCCTATACACATTTTCTGGTGTGCATACACTAGTAAGCAAATAAATAAGGACCAAATTTTGCTAAGAGGTGTAGACGTTATAGTGCTCGATGTGGTTAGACAGAGCTAAGAAATATATATTAATAAATACATATATACCTATGTTTGGTGTGCGACTTAAGTTTCGTTGGTTACCCAACTTGTCGGGCACAAAATATAGCTTATTGTTTATTTTAAAAAAATATACAGATGCTCAAGTGATCAATGCTGATTCATAGTTCAAAATTAAAATAGTACAAAAATAGTACTAAAGGAATATATATATATATATATGTATATATATATAAAATTTTAAGGTATGCTATATTTATGAGTCAGTTTTCAGTAGTAGGGATAGAGCTTATGTAAATATAGTGGACACTGAATCATATACAGTGGGGGGCGCAAATATTTGTACACAGACAAATTTTTAATTTATTGTATTTCAGCTAATTAATATACATTCAGATAATTAACTGTACACTGATGTATAATAACTAAAAATGCATAGGAAAACAGAAAAAAATTGTTTTAATAGAAATAAATCCCATTTATCCATTTTAGTGGGTGAAAATAGTATTTGTACAGTGTGAATTTAAGATTTTAAGACATTTAAATTGCTTTAATTCACTAGTTTATTCAAGTGATATATTTTAGAATGTCCCAGTAATATTATCAGTGGTTACCTTTAGACTAAAAAATACAAACAGAACATTCTGTAATTAAAGGTTGACTGTAAAAGAAGGTTATCATCATTGCGAGAGGTAAAGAATTGACAAATTTGCAAAAAAAAACTGATTGTTAAGCTCTGCAAAGGTTACGGGAAAATCTCAGACAAACTGAATATTCCACTTACAACCATTAGTTCATTCATTGCAAGGTATAAAGAACTCAGAACTGTTGAAAACCAAAAAAGAACAGGTGATCCACAGAAGATTTCTTCAAAATTGTCAAGGAAATTAATGTGTCAAATTAAACAAAATCCAATGGTTACTTGTCAAGAACTGCAGGATGATTTGCTTTCATCAGGAATCTGTGTCACTAACGAACAATTAGAAATGAAATTATTAGGAACAAGCTAAAGTCATGTTCCACTTGGAAAACTTCACTGCTATTGAAAAGACATAGAGATGCCAAGTTGAAATTCATTTGTGAACATAAAGATAAGAAAAAATGTATTGAGAAAATGTATTATGGACAGATGAAGCCAAAATTGAGTTTTTTGGATGTAATTCTAGAAATCATGTATGGAAAAAAGATTGTGATGCTTTCAAACAAAAGAAGTTCCAACAGTTTTATAATATTTCTAGTTACTGCAATAAATATATATATATATATATATATATATATATACCCAAAACACATTATTAAAAAACAAGACCCAAAACACATTATTAAAAAACAAAACCCAAAACACATAGGAAAACAAGACCTAAAACACGTTATTAAAAAAACAATTTTTTTTTCAAAATGGCTTTCAAAATTTAAAATTCCCACTGTTTCTCGTTCATTTGCACATGAAGTCACATCAACATAAACAAACCTATTCCAATGACATCCTAAGGATCAAAACTGACAAAATTTCATAAAATGTAGTCAGTCTGATGAGATGAGTATGCCTGTATTCATTGAAATAAATTTATTGCCAACAATGGATTTTTAAGGATTTTCCCTAATTATTTTAATTTGTTCTGTATCATACATTGAGTTCTCATATGGTCTAAAAGTCCTCTTTGGAATAATCCTTACCAATTACAATTTGGTATTTTATATATATATATATATATATATATATATATATATACACACACACACTTTCATCATTTATAATCTCTGGCATTTTTCTATACCTTGATACTATATTAACTTTTTGTTGTCATTTTTAAAAAATAATTTTCAAAACATAGACATTTATCACACCCAGTGATTTTAAAAACCTGTCATTTTCAACAAATTATCAGCAGTGATGAAAGACTTCTTTGCTATCCATTTTATATCCTCTTGGCATTTATTTTGATTACCATACTTTTCAAATGAAAAAAAAACAAACAAACTTTGACAATGGCATATTTATGTTAATTCTGTTCATAAAACAGAGGGTAGGAAAATGCCATACATATTTACTGAAAACAATAGCCTGTATCATTAATTGCTGTTTAGCTTTTGAAAAATTAAGATGTATGGAAAGCTTTTAGAAATTATGAAGACATTTAAATAATGCAGCTTAAATAAGAATTAACAAAACATTAAAATACAGTGATAATGATAATACTGTTTCCATACCAAGCAGCCAGTACTACTTTCGGTTGAAATTTATAAAATCTTTCTTTTAAAACAAACTTTCAGGAAAATAGATCTATCAAATCCGGCAGTTATTATTGCTCTTTCCAGTAATGAGGGGTTGTTTCTTTCTTAACCTTAGTGTGGAATGTTAGTATTTTAATTATGCTATTATTTTCTCTTTGAATTACATGTGCTATCCATTTTAATTGTTGCTGCTAGTAACAAATGTTGAAATTATATAAAATCATTATTTAAACCTTTCAATCTATCTTTTATGCAAACAATTTTATTTTATGTTAATGAACTCATGAGATTTGATAAGCACTTAAGGTCCAAAGAATTAAAGAAATAAATTTTAGACTCTACTCTTTTCAAAATTGAAATGATATGCACTACAGGCAAAAAGTTTATAGCCGCACTGTATTTCTTTAAAAAAAAACCCCAAAAAACACCATAGAATTAGAATTTTTTATATTTTTTAAAGTAAGATAAATTTTTAGTAATGACAATGTATTTGCTTTTATTTTGACAAAATAAGCCCTTAACTATAAAAAAAATTATCATACAACAGTGTTATATTTTGTTTTCATCAATAAAACCACCACCTGCCTTAATTACTGCTTTACATTCTTGGCATTCTTTCCAAAAGTTTTTGAAAAAAACGTAGATGGCAGACCTTCCTACATTTCTTCAAGCACTGAAAAAGCTCACTCTCAAGGTATTCTCTTTGAACTGTCCTCTCCAATTCATCCCATAATAGTTCAATGGGAAAAGTCAGATGATTGAGGTGGCCAAGTAATAATTTCCAAAATTTTCTTCCTTTTTTGACTTGAGATAATTTTGACATAATTTAGAAGACTGTTTTGGATCATTATCTTGTTGAAAAGTGAATTTGTTTTCCAATTATACGTAAACCAAATAGTATATCATGTCTTGACAAAATCAAATGTTCTTGTTCTTTTTTCATGATTCACTTGACCTAAATCAAAAATCCAACACTTAGGCAATCTCAAAAAGTCTATTGAAGGGTTAATGTTGAAAGCAATATGAATATATGTTTCTCATACAAAATATTCATCATTTAGCAAAATGTATTGTGGGCAGACAAATCCAAATTTGAACTTTTTGGTAGGAAGAGGAGCTTGGAGAAAGACTGAAAAATAAAAGCAAATACACTGTAGTTACTGAAATTTTATCTTTTACTTAATAAAAAAAACACAAAAATATATCACATTTAAGGTGTTTTTTTTTTTTTTTAAAGAAATACTAGGTGGCCAACAAATACCTGCCTTAACTATGTACTGAGCATTTTCTTTTCATGACTTGCATCATTTATTTTTCAGCTTTTCCAAAGCTGTTGGAATTGAGTCTTGCATCAACCATGTAAGTATCATATCTTCCTTTACTTTTGACTTCTTTTTTAAAGTGTCATGTCACTTCAGAATGTAAGCGATCTTGACTCTCTAAAGCTTTCTTTTATTTATTATCTGTAAAATAGCATTCATTCTTGGGAAAGATAGTGGAATGGTTTCCCATTGCCTTCTCCATTCTTTTTACATTCCATAGTAGTCCTACTCTTAGACTGGGGCTTATGGCCATATCACATTAACATACTGGTTCTTGTATGATCAGCAAAGTTAAGCAACATTGAGCCTGGTCAGTACCTAGATGGGTAGCCTCTTGAGAGTACCAGGTGCTGTAAGCTTGGATGTGCAGGTGGTGTAATGGATAATGAATTGGAAATTGGAGAGCTATGTTCAAATTCCAGTTGGGTTCATTATATTTACTTATGTTCAAATACCCTTTGGAAACATATGAATCCACATCTTCTCCCCCCCTATGGATTAATTAGTTGGACGTGTATTAGTATAATCATTATTATCTTTAAAAAAAAATTCTTACAATCTAAAAATATTTTCTGGCTTTAAATCCCCTGCAAAAGGTTGATAAGCTGTAAAAAAAAACAAAAAAAATAACTGGTCACTGATCAAAGCCAGAGTGCTAATTCCATCCTATTTAATCTATAACTGGGGATAGAAGGAAGAGATTCATGCCTTTCCTAAGAGTATTTGTGTGAAAGTGAATGCAACAGGCCAAGGCAGGATTTGAACTTGCTTCATTGATTCCATTATCAAAGCTAATATCCGTTATACAACTTGAAAAATCTTGAGTGTTTTGATTTTATGGTTATTTTTCACTTTAAAAAATATCTTTTTGAAAAATTTACATGAAAAGTTTAAACATTTCCCTTTGCATCTAACTGGAATGATGCCAAAAATACACAAAAAACTTCAGTGGTGTCAAAATGTTTACACAATTTTACTTACAAATCCTTAACTTTGTGATTATAGAAAAATATATTTTATTTATTTCAGAAATCTATATAGTGAAAGTCTTGTAAGACTTTTATATTACGGTTAAAAAAAATACTCAATATATTTTCCTTAAGCTACTCATATAAAATACTACCTCTGTCCCATAATCTCTTTTATGTATCATGTTCATTCAAAACGTGGGTGATCATAGCTCTCCACAGCATCCTTTTTAGTGCTAAGCAGTGTTTATCCGCTTACCATCCCTCTCTCCTAGTCCTTGCTCTGCTATCCATTCACACAACTTCCCTCTGCTTCACTTGCCTTCAATATATCCTGTGAGTATTAAATTCTTCAAGCCCTCTTTTCTCATAATTCAGAACTTTCAGCGGTCTCTTTATGATTGTAAATATAAACTTCTTTGTAGTTCCTTAAAACTTCTTTGTTGCTCACTTCTTGTGTCCATTGTATTTTTATTCATGAGGAGAATCACTTTTGTTGCTTCAAGTCTCTTTTTCACCAATGAGAAAATTCACTCCCTTATAGATGTTACATAGCATTTCACTTGTTTCTTTGTTTCTAATGATATTTTCCTATCTCTTCATAGTTTGCTTAATTTCTGTAAGGCATCTTTCCCTGTTCCTATGCCTTGTTTCTTCCCTATCCAGGATTTGCTTAATTTTGACCTCCCCAATGTTTAATTCATATCTTGGCCTGTCTCTTTTGCTGATGACCTTGCATCCCTCAGATTACAGTTAATAATTAGTCCTTTCCTCTTGCTTTCTATTACTATCTTTACTCAGACGTCTTTCAGTTTCCTTCCTGAATCTGCTACAAACCCAGTGTCACCTGTGTATTCCCGCCAGTAATACATTCTGGTAATTCCTCCGATTGCCTCACTATGTAGGTTCAATAAAATCTGTTGAAAAAACGCAGCCGTGTCTTATGCCCTGCTCAAATTGTTTTCTATCCATCTGCAAGTAAGTTTGTTCTTAGTGAATATCCCGGATTTTTGTGATATCTGTCCCAAATAAATCAATTTTTCCTACCGTCCTGGGTATGATGATGAACTACATCCATGTCCAGAGTAAGATGATAAACTATGTCTGGCAGTAAGGCCTCTGTACAGGAGGTTTTGAGAAGCGTGGAACCACCTCTTAATTTCTGGTGTTCCTAGGTCCACACTGACTTGGGGTGGTAGCACCTGTTAGAGTCCCAGCTATGGACAAATAGTTAACCTCTAAATTGGGGTCAAAACACTATGAAAGTGTAAAAATAGGTTTTAATACCAGCAATAAATTTTTGGAGGAAAAATTATTACCAACAATATATTATTATCAGCAATACATTTTTGAAAGAAAAAAAAATTATCAGCAACACATTTTGTAAATAATTATTACCAGCAATACATCTTGTCGGCATTAAAATAACCCATCAAACGAAACCAATTTTTCTTATCCTGTCATTTTTACATTTGCTTATGGTTCATTTCATCCTGTAATAATGGCCATAAGTGATCCTCTCAGGAAAATCTGGGAAAATTCACAGGTGTTCTTTTATCAAATTTATTGATAAATCCCAAAATATTAAAGCTCTATCTTTTAAAATCAGAGCATCTTGAATTTTCATTTTTTGCATTTTGCTAAATGAAGTTTTCAATGAACTTCTGGCATTGGAAAAGCTATTTTAAAACCGCTAAGAGCATCTAAACTATTTTGGACAAAGGTAAAATGAATCCCAAAATAGTTTATTTACATAAGAAATTGTAAAGGTACTAACTTTCAGCATAATATTTTATTGAGTATCACCTTTATCTTCTTTCTTTTTTATGTGTCGTGTTCTTTGAGTACATAGGCGATCATGGTCCTCCACATCTTCCTGTTTCTTGCAGCTGTTAAGTTTTGTCTTTTTGTTATCTGTTCTAACATCCATTTACTCAAGCTCATCAAGTATGTTATGCCCTGCTTTCCGCTGTTCCGCTTTCTCTCAATCTGCCCTTTGAGTATCAGGTTTTCCAAGTTATCCTTCCTCATTACATACCCCAGAAACTTCAACTGCCTTTTCCTGGTGTTAAGTATAAGTTTTCTTTGCTCCCATGTTTGGTCCATGGTATCCTCAGCATCTTTTTGTCGAACCACATTTCTGTTGCTTTAAGTCTGTTCTTCAGCTTTGAGGAGATTTCTCAGTTGCCATCTAGGAGGACTGATATCACATAACAGTTCAGTACTCTTTTCTTTGTTTCTAACAAAATTTTTCTTTTGGAATGCATCTTTGTCATCCCAATATGTCTTTGGATCTCAGTGGCACACTTTCTGTCCTCTGCTAGAACACTTCTCAGATATTTAAATTTTTGTACTTATTTAATTTCAGTATCCCTGATTTGTAATTTGCACTTTTGGCTGACCCTTTTGCTGATGACCATGCAATAAGGTGCCAAAATCAGTGAAATCATAATTTTGGCATGATAAGTTGTTCTAGAAAAATATATTTTAACCCTAGATAGAAGTTTGTGTAAAGTTTTAAAAGTAGTCAAAGGGAAAATACACAAAAGGTATTGCTATAATCATGGGAGTAGTTGTATATTTTCTAACCAGGTGAAATGTATAGGTAGGGTGGGGGATTTGTATTTAAGGAACACATTTTCCTTTATTTCTGATTGAATTTTGAAGTTAAATGAGAAAGCCAGCAAATTTACTTGATCCAATGAGAACTGATCCAAGTTGATCCAATGAGAACTGTTACTGCCTTTGGAATGGTGCATTAGATTCTGATAGGTTCAAAGATTACACACCTGATGTATTTATAACTTCTTACGCCACTTCATTGCTAGCCTTCTGATAATGGTACTTAAGAAGAATAATCTTTGATTTCATGTCATATTTTATGGCAGCACCATATGAAATACCATTTTTATGGCTTACAAGACTGTGGCTTGGAAGATGCACCTTAATATTGGAAAAAAATTTCTAAGGAAACAAAAAGTCATTCTCACACAACAACACATTCACCATGTGTCCCTTACATACTGATGCCATGTATTGTTTACATTAATCACTCATCTGATTTTGTTTGTATGCCAATGACATGCAAGTTGGTGGCTAGTAAATATACTGTACATCTTTCGTTGTCCAAGTCTGGTTTTATTTTCATAAAAATGAATTGAAAATGTTAAAAATATGCATGTAAAAATATAAAACAATCAAAGAAATTTTTATTCATCCTCAAATCCCAAGAACTCATCATTGCTGGATTCATGTATTTTCTGTTCATAATTCACCTGGCATTTTTTTGAGATATTTTAGTTCTTGTTCATAAGCATAACTTGTTTTGCTTTATGAACCAAAAACACCAAGATGTAGTGCCTTTGAAGTCTTTTACTCCCATGTTCATTGTGAGTTTTCTTGCTTCCATCATTATCATTTTCATATTAACCGCAACCCGGAGGTTTCTGTGTTCCATTATCCATGTACACAAGTCTATCTCTGACTGTGGCCATTTTGCTTGTACTTGACATAAATTATGCTCTGTCTTGTTTCCATCTTCACTCAATCTTTCTTCTTGTTTCCTCCAAATCATTTTTTCTGGAGTCAATGGTCCAAAGTGTCTTTCTGTTGCTCTGTTACCATATTCTTTGGCATATCGTACAGCATGTAGCTTGTATGCAATAGTATAAGTAAATTGTTTTGATGAACTTGCCATGGGTGACAATTTCCAGAACAAAAAAAGCTTGTGATACATGTGACAGTCTGGTGGTAACTGATATTTTCACAAGGGTGTGAGCAAACCTACGCCATTGAGATCAAGAGCAAAAAGGCTCCCGTTTCTGCTAGTAAACAGAGCAATGTTTAAGCTTATAGTTTGGCTCCAGGAAGGTTTGTAGTCTTGGAAATACTTGTAAAATCTAAATACAGAGGTTACATCATATAAAATGCTGAATTAGATAGCTAATATTATAGTGCAATGACTCAGCATATAAATCCACGTCCCTGTCAGTGAAGCCAATTAGGTGACCATCCAAGCTTACTTGGCATTGTCTTACATATGTCTGCATTTACGTTTGATGCACATGTATTTTTCAGGGCATTTTTTAGAAAACAAGTGTCTTGTAAGCCAGAAAATATGGTAGATCTTATATATGAGAGTGCTGAAAATTATGCAGTCTAAACCAGAATCTCCTCAAAAAGAAATTCTGATATTTAGTAAGATTTTGGGACAACATTAAGAACCATGTATACATGGTGGATTGAGATGCAGATATATAAATATATAAAAGTAACAGAAAATTATATCTACAGAGTGTGATATATAAAGTTTCATCTAAATTAAACAAAAATAAAAATAACACTGGCATCTCATTTTAACAGATAGATTTACCAAAATTACATAAAAAT